GCTTCTCACAAAAGAGGTTTCAAATCATTAAATCGTACCCCTTGGCCAGCAGGTGACCAACTGTCCAAAAAAGGCGGAAATCTCTCCCATTGACTGTAATGTTATTTTTGTCCAAGAAAATCCGGATCATCGCTCAGGGTCAGACTTTTTTAACTCGCTGTTGTGGCCTCATTTTTCGAAGTACAGACATGAAAAACACATCATTGTGTTCATGAAGGACGGAGGATTCTTACGATGTTCTTATTTTCATTCTGGGACTTAAGGAAATCACGCTATGTGAAGAAGTTCACAGGCTGAAATTCACTGCAGTTCAGCACCTCTCAGTCAAACAGTAGGTTAGTGATTTGCCTTTGATCTCACAGCTGTTTAGGATGCAGTCATTAACGAGACACACACACACGCACGCACACACATTCTTGTACTTGTTGCTTTTTGAGGTCCACCTTGCAGTTCATCTGCTTGTACACACAGTTAATATGTGTCTGCTTCACCACCTATCTCCACCCACAAACTTTGAGCTACAGAAACCATTCTGGGCTTCAAAAATTCAGCTCATTGAAGATATTATGGGGTGTTTTGAGGATTGTGATAATAAATTGTATTAATGTGTTTAGCAGAGTCTTGTGTTCTCACAAGCTCCTTATGAATATATACAGAGGATGAGCGTCAGGGCCTACTTGGAGTCCTGTTTCTTTAGCTTCAAGCCTTCTTTCTCCTGCTATAGTTATGCATCCAAGGTCCCCATGGCAACCAATTTGTGCACCTGGAGACACACAGCTGACTGGAAAGCTGCTTCTAATGGCCATATGAGACACATGAAGCCAGGCTTAGTACGCATAGCACTGGGGATGACACTTAAAACCCTTTACTAGAGTGCTTGAAAAAACTTCAGCCCCTATCTCCTCACATGAACTTTGGCCTACAGAAACCATTCAGGGCTTTAAAATTTATGCTCATTAAGGACATTATGGGGTGTATTCATGATTTATATTCATTTAAATTTTCACTTTTATAAGTCACTCAGTGATGATTTATCATTTAATTTTTCAAACTAATTTAAACTCATTCAAACTGATACAAACCTTTCTAATACTTAAAAACCATTTGATACTTGAGGATTTTTCATTATTTAAATTTTCCCTGTTTTAAATTAGTTTTAATATTTATGCATTACTCCATCCTTCAAACAAAATCCTACCTCAAGTACGACAACTACTGCTAATGTCAGTCAAACTAGTACTTTCCCCTCTACTTCAACTGCTATTGCTCCTTTTTCTACTTTCTCTACTGCTGCTATTGCTACTATTTCTACTTTCTCTACTACTTTGACTTATACTTCTTTTATTCTCAATCTACTTCTACTGCTGACATGACTACTAGTATCACGACTTGACCTCTTATACTACTTCTAGTACTACAACTTAAACTTATGCCACTTCTCGCCTTCCTGCCTTTTAAGGCAATTTCCTTCTTCATTCAAACTTTGTGCAATTTCAGACATTTTTCTAGCCCCTTTCAGCATGAATAAAATTTCCTTTCATAGAGCATATTCATACTATTTGTCCTTCAACAATTTCAACATTTATCCAACTTATATTTCTTTTTCACCTCTTCAACAGCTTTAACATTTATACCTTTCTCCTTGTTTTATTAGCAGTTTAGCATTGCTTTTTTAGCTTTCAGCACTCAGCATTTCCACGCATTTTCTGCAAGGAAATGCAATTTTTCTAGTTAAGTGGAAATGCTGATTAAGCATTTCCACTTATTGTTATTCTCCCGTTTCTTTATTATTATTATTATTATTAAACTTATTATTCTTCCGTCCCTTTTTTGGACCGCTTCTCCTCCTTCAAACTTTGTCCGATTTCAACCGTTCAAACTTTAAACTATTCCACTCCTTCAGGACATTATTGCTATTACTTTTCACTCTTCTACCCTTTATACTTTTTGATATTTTTAACTTTTTGTGCAAAAATTTTAACATTGAAGTCAATGGGGAAATCTTAAAATTCTACCTTTTACTCTTCCACCTTCAAAGCCTTATAACTTCAGCATACTTTCACCTAGAGACCTCATTTTTGCTTTAAAATGTTCACTCAATTGTCGACTATTAAAGTTGTACTCAGTTTTTTGATATCTCTTACAGTTTTTCCACAATTTAGCTTTAAGCAACTTGTGGTTTTCAGCAAATTTCAAGCTTTATAATGGGTGTGTATTGGAGAGTTTAGAGTGATGATGTCATCAGCTAGAGTGCAGACCTCGTCTCTGATCGACAGAACCTCGCTCGAATATATCGCTCCCACGCCCACAAATCTCACTCCAGAGCCATAAAAAATACATCAAAATGGAGGTATATGTGTCCTGCTTCTCACAAAAGAGGTTTCAAATCATTTAATCTTACCCCTTGGCCAGCAGGTGACCAACTGTCCAAATAAGGCGGAAATCTCTCCCATTGACCATAATGTTATTTTTCTCCAAGAAAATCCGGATCATCGCTCAGGCTCAGACTTTTTTAACTCGCTGTTGTGGCCTCTTTTTTCGAAGTACAGACATGAAAAACACATCATTGTGTTCATGAAGGGCGGAGGATTCGTACGATGTTCTTATTTTCATTCTGTGACTTAAGGAAATCACGCTATGTGAAGAAGTTTAGAGCCTCTAAATCCTCTGCAGTTCAGCTGCTTCTCATTCAAACAGTAGGTCAGTGATTTGCCTTTGATCTCACAGCTGTTTAGGATGCAGTCATTAACGAGACACACACACACACACACACACACACACACACACACACACACATTCTTGTACTTGTTGCTTTATGAGGTCTACCTTGCAGTTCAGCTGCTTGTACACACAGTTAATATGTGTCTGCTTCGCCACCTATCTCCACCCACAAACTTTGAGCTACAGAAACCATTCTGGGCTTCTAAAATTCAGCTCATTGAAGATATTATGGGGTGTTTTGAGGATTGTGATAATAAATTGTATTAATGTGTTTAGCAGAGTCTTGTGTTCTCACAAGCTCCTTATCAGGAATAGATACAGAGGATGAGCGTCAGGGCCTACTTGGAGTCCTGTTTCCTTAGCTTCAAGCCTTCTTTCTCCTGCTATAGTTATGCATCCAAGGTCCCCATGGCAACCAATTAGTGCACCTGGAGACACACAGCTGACTGGAAAGCTGCTTCTAATGGCCATATGAGACACATGAAGCTAGGCTCAGCACACATAGCACTGGGGATGACACTTAAAACCCTTTACTAGAGAGCTTGAAAAAACTTCAGCCCCTATCTCCTCACATGACCTTTGACCTACAGAAACCATTCAGGGCTTTAAAATTTGAGCTCATTGAGGACATTAGGGGGTGTATTAAGGATTTATATACATTTAGATTTTTCACATTTTAAAGTCACTCAGTGATGATTTATCATTTAATTTTTCAAACTAATTTGAACTGATTCAAACTGATTCAAACCTTTCTAATACTTAAAAAATTAAACTTATGCCACTTCTCACCTTCCTGCCTTTTAAGGCAATTTCCTTCTTCATTCAAACTTTGTGCAATTTTAGACATTTTTCTAGCCTCTTTCAGCATGAATAAAATTTCTTTTTATAGAGCATATTCATACTATTTGTCCTTCAACCAATTAATCAATTATCCAACTTACATTTCTTTCACACCCCTTCAACAGCTTTAACATTTATACATTTCTCCATGTTTTATTAGCAGTTTAGCATTGCTTTTTCAGCTTTCAGCACTCAGCATTTCCACGCATTTTCTGCAAGGAAATGCAATTTTTCTAGTATTATACTTAACACTCTCCCCATACGTTTCTTTGGACCGCTTCTCCTCCTTCAAACTTTGTCCGATTTCAACCGTTCAAACTTTAAACTATTCCACTCCATCAGGACATGTGTGCTTGTATTTTTTTCCTTTCTATCCTTTGTACTTTTTATTATTTTTCACTTTTTGTTCCAAACTTTTTTCCCATAGAAATGAATGGGGAAATCTTCCAATTCTTCCTGTTATTCGTGCACCTTCTAAGCCTTATAACTTCAGCATACTTTCACCTAGAGACCTCATTTTTGCTTTAAAATGTTCATTGTCTTGTCGACTATTGATGTTGTATTAACCTTTTTGTGCTATCTTTTACAGTTTTTCCACAATTTAGCTTTATGCAACTTGTGGTTTTCAGCAAATTTCAGGCTTTATAATAGGGGTGTATTGGAGAGGCTAGAGTGATGATTTGAAAAGCTAGAGTGCAGACCTCCTCCCTGATCGACAGAACCTCGCTCGAATATATCGCTCCCACGCCCACAAATCTCACTCCACAGCCATAAAAAATACATCAAAATGGAGGTATATGTGTCCTGCTTCTCACAAAAGAGGTTTCAAATCATTAAATCTTACCCCTTGGCCAGCAGGTGACCAACTGTCCAAATAGGCGGAAATCTCTCCCCATTGGCTCTAATGTATTTTTTCTCCAAGAAAATCCTTATCGCCACTCAGGCTCAGACTTTTTTAACTCGCTGTTGTGGCGACATTTTTCGGAGTACAGACATGAAAAACACATCATTGTGTTCATGAAGGGCGGAGGATTTGTACGATGTTCTTATTTTCATTCTGGGACTTAAGGAAATCGTGCTATGTGAAGAAGTTCAGAACCCTAAATTCACTGCAGTTCAGCAGCTTCTCCATTCAAACAATAGGTCAGTTCATGGCTTTGATCTTACAGCTGTTTAGGATGCAGTCATTAACGAGACACACACACACACACACACACACACATTCTTGTACTTGTTGCTTTATGAGGTCTACCTTGCAGTTCAGCTGCTTGTACACACAGTTAATATGTGTCTGCTTCGCCACCTATCTCCACCCACAAACTTTGAGCTACAGAAACCATTCTGGGCTTCTAAAATTCAGCTCATTGAAGATATTATGGGGTGTTTTGAGGATTGTGATAATAAATTGTATTAATGTGTTTAGCAGAGTCTTGTGTTCTCACAAGCTCCTTATCAGGAATAGATACAGAGGATGAGCGTCAGGGCCTACTTGGAGTCCTGTTTCCTTAGCTTCAAGCCTTCTTTCTCCTGCTATAGTTATGCATCCAAGGTCCCCATGGCAACCAATTAGTGCACCTGGAGACACACAGCTGACTGGAAAGCTGCTTCTAATGGCCATATGAGACACATGAAGCCAGGCTCAGCACACATAGCACTGGGGATGACACTTAAAACCCTTTACTAGAGCGCTTGAAAAAACTTCAGCCCCTATCTCCTCACATGACCTTTGACCTACAGAAACCATTCAGGGCTTTAAAATTTGAGCTCATTGAGGACATTATTGGGTGTATTTAGGATTGTTATTCATTTAAATTTTTCACATTTTAAAAGTCAGTCAGTGATGATTTATCATTTAATTTTTCAAACTAATTTGAACTCATTCAAACTGATTCAAACCTTTCTAATACTTAAAAAATTAATCTTATACCACTTCTCACTTTCCTGCCTTTTGAGGCAATTTCCTTCTTCATTCAAACTTTGTGCAATTTTAGACATTTTTCTAGCCTCTTTCAGCATGAATAAAATTTCTTTTTATAGAGCATATTCATACTATTTGTCCTTCAACCAATTAATCAATTATCCAACTTACATTTCTTTCACACCCCTTCAACAGCTTTAACATTTATACATTTCTCCATGTTTTATTAGCAGTTTAGCATTGCTTTTTCAGCTTTCAGCTTTCAGCACTCAGCATTTCCACGCATTTTCTGCAAGGAAATGCAATTTTTCTAGTATTATACTTAACACTCTCCCCATACGTTTCTTTGGACCGCTTCTCCTCCTTCAAACTTTGTCCGATTTCAACCGTTCAAACTTTAAACTATTCCACTCCTTCAGGACATGATGGCTATTACTTTTCTCTTTTCTACCCTTTATACTTTTTATTATTTTTCACTTTTTGTGCCAAACTTTTTTTCCCATAGAAATGAATGGGGAAATCTTTCAATTCTTCCTGTTATTCGTCCACCTTCTAAGCCTTATAACTTCAGCATACTTTCACCTAGAGACCTAATTTTTGCTTTAAAATGTTCATTGTCTTGTCGACTATTGATATTGTATTAACCTTTTTGTGCTATCTTTTACAGTTTTTCCACAATTTAGCTTTATGCAACTTGCGGTTTTCAGCAAATTTCAGGCTTTATAATAGGGGTGTATTGGAGAGGCTAGAGTGATGATGTCATCAGCTAGAGTGCAGACCTCGTCTCTGATCAACACAACCTCGCTCGAATATATCGCTCCCACGCCCACAAATCTCACTCCACAGCCATAAATAATAGATCAAAATGGAGGTATATGTGTCCTGCTTCTCACAAAAGAGGTTTCAAATCATTAAATCGTACCCCTTGGCCAGCAGGTGACCAACTGTCCAAGGAAGGCGGAAATGTCTCCCATTGACCATAATGTTATTTTTCTCCAGGAAAATCCGGATCATCGCTCAGGCTCAGACTTTTTTAACTCGCTGTTGTGGCCTCATTTTTCGAAGTACAGACATGAAAAACACATCATTGTGTTCATGAAGGACGGAGGATTCGTACGATGTTCTTATTTTCATTCTGGGACTTAAGGAAATCACGCTATGTGAAGAAGTTCACAGGCTTCAAATCCTCTGCTGTTCAGCTGCTTCTCATTCAAACAGTAGGTCAGTGATTTGCCTTTGATCTCACAGCTGTTAGGGATGCAGTCATTAATGAGACACACACACACACACACACACACACATTCTTGTACTTGTTGCTTTGTCAGGTCTACCTTGCAGTTCAGCTGCTTGTACACACAGTTAATATGTGTCTGCTTCACCACCTATCTCCACCCACAAACTTTGAGCTACAGAAACCATTCTGGGCTTGAAAAATTCAGCTCATTGAAGATATTATGGGGTGTTTTGAGGATTGTGATAATAAATTGTATTAATGTGTTCAGCAAAATCTTGTGTTCTCACAAGCTCCTTATGAATATATACAGAGGGTGAGCGTCAGGGCCTACTTGGAGTCCTGTTTCTTTAGCTTCAAGCCTTCTTTCTCCTGCTATAGTTATGCATCCAAGGTCCCCATGGCAACCAATTTGTGCACCTGGAGACACACAGCTGACTGGAAAGCTGCTTCTAATGGCCATATGAGACACATGAAGCCAGGCTCAGTACACATAGCACTGGGGATGACACTTAAAACCCTTTCCTAGAGCGCTTGAAAAAACTTCAGCCCCTATCTCCTCACATGACCTTTGACCTACAGAAACCATTCAGGGCTTTAAAATTTAAGCTCATTGAGGACATTATGGGGTGTATTTAGGATTGTTATTCATTTAAATTTTTCACATTTTAAAAGTCACTCAGTGATGATTTATCATTTAATTTTTCAAACTAATTTAAACTCATTCAAACTGATTCAAACCTTTCTAATACTTCAAAACTTTCTGATACTTGAGGACTTTTGATAATTTAAAATTTCCCTGTTTTAAATTAGTTTTAATATTTATGCATTACTCCATCATTCAAACAAAATCCTACCTCAAGTACGACAACTACTGCTAATGTCAATTAAACTAGAACTTTCCCCTCTACTTCAACTGCTATTGCTCCTATTTCTACTTTCTTTACTACTTTGACTTATACTTCTTTTATTCTCAATCTACTTCTACTGCTGACATGACTACTAGTATCACGACTTGACTTCTTATACTACAATTTAAACTTATGCCACTTCTCACCTTCCTGCCTTTTAAGGCAATTTCCTTCTTCATTCAAACTTTGTGCAATTTTAGACATTTTTCTAGCCTCTTTCAGCATGAATAAAATTTCCTTTTATAGAGCATATTCATACTATTTGTCCTTCAACCAATTAAGTAGTTATCCAACTTATTTTTCTTTTTCATTCCTTCAACAGCTTTAACATTTATACCTTTCTCCATGTTTTATTAGCAGTTTAGCATTGCTTTTTCAGCTTTCAGCACTCAGCATTTCCACGCATTTTCTGCAAGGAAATGCAATTTTTCTAGTATTATACTTAACACTCTCCCCATACGTTTCTTTGGACCGCTTCTCCTCCTTCAAACTTTGTCCGATTTCAACCGTTCAAACTTTAAACTATTCCGCTCCATCAGGACATGATGGCTATTACTTTTCTCTTTTCTACCCTTTATACTTTTTATTATTTTTCACTTTTTGTGCCAAACTTTTTTCCCCATAGAAATGAATGGGGAAATCTTTCAATTCTTCCTGTTATTCGTCCACCTTCTACACCTTATAACTTCAGCATACTTTCACCTAGAGACCTAATTTTTGCTTTAAAATGTTCATTGTCTTGTCGACTATTGATGTTGTATTAACCTCTTGGTGCTATCTTTTACAGTTTTTCCACAATTTAGCTTTATGCAACTTGTGGTTTTCAGCAAATTTCAGGCTTTATAATAGGGGTGTATTGGAGAGGCTAGAGTGATGATTTGAAAAGCTAGAGTGCAGACCTCGTCTCTGATCGACAGAACCTCGCTCAAATATATCGCTCCCACGCCCACAAATCTCACTCCACAGCCATAAAAAATACATCAAAATGGAGGTATATGTGTCCTGCTTCTCACAAAAGAGGTTTCAAATCATTAAATCCTACCCCTTGGCCAGCAGGTGACCAACTGTCCAAATAGGCGGAAATCTCTCCCCATTGGCCCTAATGTATTTTTTCTCCAAGAAAATCCTTATCGCCACTGAGGCTCAGACTTTTTTAACTCGCTGTTGTGGCCACATTTTTCGGAGTACAGACATGAAAAACACATCATTGTGTTCATGAAGGACGGAGGATTCGTACGATGTTCTTATTTTCATTCTGGGACTTAAGGAAATCACGCTATGTGAAGAAGTTCACAGGCTGAAATTCACTGCAGTTCAGCACCTCTCAGTCAAACAGTAGGTTAGTGATTTGCCTTTGATCTCACAGCTGTTTAGGATGCAGTCATTAACGAGACACACACACACACACACACACATTCTTGTACTTGTTGCTTTTTGAGGTCCACCTTGCAGTTCAGCTGCTTGTACACACAGTTAATATGTGTCTGCTTCACCACCTATCTCCACCCACAAACTTTGAGCTACAGAAACCATTCTGGGCTTGAAAAATTCAGCTCATTGAAGATATTATGGGGTGTTTTGAGGATTGTGATAATAAATTGTATTAATGTGTTCAGCAGAGTCTTGTGTTCTCACAAGCTCCTTATGAATATATACAGAGGGTGAGCGTCAGGGCCTACTTGGAGTCCTGTTTCTTTAGCTTCAAGCCTTCTTTCTCCTGCTATAGTTATGCATCCAAGGTCCCCATGGCAACCAATTTGTGCACCTGGAGACACACAGCTGACTGGAAAGCTGCTTCTAATGGCCATATGAGACACATGAAGCCAGGCTCAGTACACATAGCACTGGGGATGACACTTAAAACCCTTTCCTAGAGCGTTGGAAAAAACTTCAGCCCCTATCTCCTCACATGACCTTTGACCTACAGAAACCATTCAGGGCTTTAAAATTTAAGCTCATTGAGGACATTATGGGGTGTATTCAGGATTTATATTCATTTACATTTTTCACATTTTAAAAGTCAGTCAGTGATGATTTATCATTTAATTTTTCAAACTAATTTAAACTCATTCAAACTGATACTTGAGGATTTTAAAGTATTTAAATTTTCCATGTTTTAAATTAGTTTTAATATTCATGCATTACTCCATCCTTCAAACAAAATCCTACCTCAAGTACGACAACTACTGCTAATGTCAATTTAACTAGTACTTTCCCCTCTACTTCAACTGCTATTGCTCCTATTTCTACTTTCTCTACTTCAACTGCTATTGCTACTGTTTCTACTTTCTCTACTATTTTGACTTATACTTCTTTTATTCTCAAACTACTTCTACTGCTGACACGACTACTAGTATCACGACTTGACCTCTTATCATACTACTTCTAGTACTACAACTTAAACTAATGCCACTTCTCACCTTCCTGCCTTTTAAGGCAATTTCCTTCTTCATTCAAACTTTGTGCAATTTTAGACATTTTTCTAGCCTCATTCAGCATGAATCAAATTTCCTTTTATAGAGCATATTCATACTATTTGTCCTTCAACCAATGAAACCATTATCCAACTTATATTTCTTTTTCATTACTTCAACAGCTTTAACATTTATACCTTTCTCCATGTTTTATTAGCAGTTTAAGCATTGCTTTTTCAGCTTTAGCACTCAGCATTTCCACGCATTTTCTGCAAGGAAATGCAATTTTTCTAGTTAAGTGGAAATGCTGATAGGCATTTCCACTTATTGTTATTCTCCTGTTTCTTTATTATTATTATTATTATTATTATTTTTCTTCCGCCATTTTTTGGCACTTTATAACTCTTCTCCACTTTGTGCGATTTCAACCGTTCAAACTTTAAACTATTCCTCTCCTTCAGGACATGACGGCGATTACTTTTCACTTTTCTACCCTTTATACTTTTTGATTTTTTTAACTTTTTATGCAAAAATTTTAACATTGAAGTCAATGGGGAAATCTTCCAATTCTTCCTGTTATTCTTCCACCTTCTGAACCTTGTAACTTCTGCATACTTTCACCTAGAGACCTCATTTTTGCTTTAAAATGTTCATTGTCTTGTCGACTATTACAGTTGTAGTCAGTTTTTTGATATCTTTTACAGTTCTTCCACAACAATTTAGCTTTAAGCAACTTGTGGTTTTCAGCAAATTTTCAGGCTTTATAATGGGTGTGTATTGGAGAGTTTAGAGTGAGGATTTGAAAAGCTAGAGTGCAGACCTCGTCTCTGATCGACAGAACCTCGCTCGAATATATCGCTCCCACGCCTACAAATCTCACTCCACAGACATAAAAAATACATCAAAATGGAGGTATATGTGTCCTGCTTCTCACAAAAGAGGTTTCAAATCATTTAATCCTACCCCTTGGCCAGCAGGTGACCAACTGTTCAAATAGGCGGAAATCTCTCCCATTAGCCCTAATGTATTTTTTCTGCAAGAAAATCCTTATCGCCACTCAGGCTCAGACTTTTTTAACTCGCTGTTGTGGCCACATTTCTTGGAGTACAGACATGAAAAACACATCATTGTGTTCATGAAGGGCGGAGGATTCGTACGATGTTCTTATTTTCATTCTTGGACTTAAGGAAATCACGCTATGTGAAGAAGTTCAGAGGCAATAAATTCACTGCACTTAAGGAGCTTCTCAGTCAAACAGTTGGTCAGTTAATGCCTTTGATCTCACAGCTGTTTAGGATGCAGTCATTAAGGAGAGACACACACACACACATTCTTGTACTTGCTGCCTTGTGAGGTCTATGAGAAAAGACCCACAAAGCGAGGACTACAAACTTTGAGCTACAGAAACCATTCAGGGCTTCCAAATATTCAGCTCATTGAGGACAATATGGGGTGTACTCAGGATTTTTATTCATTTAACTTTTTCCCACTTTAAAATTATTCTCATTATTCATGCATTATTAAATGCTTCAGACAAATCCAAACTCATTCAAACTGATTCAAACCTTTCGGATACTTCAAACCTGTTTAACACATTAGGACGTCTAATTATTTAAAGTTTTTCCCACTTCAAAATCATTCTCATTATTTATGTATGTTTTGATTCTTCAAGCAAAATCCCAGTTCTACCACTACAATTACTACTTATGTCACCTTAACTTGTATCTTCACTTCTACCTCCACTGCTCTTGCTTCTCTTAATATTTTTTTACTTCTACTCTTACTTCTACCACGAGCTCTACTGCTTTGACTTCTACTTCTTCTATTCTAAAACTACTTCTACTGCTTACATGACTACTAATATCACTACTACAACTACCTATTATCATACTACTTCTAGTACTACAACTTAAACTTATGCCACTTCTCACGTACTTGCCTTTTAAGGTAATTTACTTCTTCATTCAAACTTTGTGTAATTGTAAAAAAATTTCCAGCCTCTTTCAGCATGAATCAAATTTCAATTTGAGGAGCATATTCGTACTATTTATTCTCCAACCTCTTATTTACAATTATTTAACTTATATATTTTTTCCCCCCTTCAACAGCTTTTACATTTATACCTTTCTCCATGTTTTATTAGCAGTTTAGCATTGCTTTTTCAGCTTTCAGCACTCAGCATTTCCACGCATTTTCTGCAAGGAAATGCAATTTTTCTAGTTAAGTGGAAATGCTGATTAAGCATTTCCACTTATTGTTATTCTCCCGTTTCTTTATTAAGTGGAAATGCTGATAGGCATTTCCACTTATTGTTATTCTCCCGTTTCTTTATTATTAAGTGGAAATGCTGATAGGCATTTCCACTTATTGTTATTCTCCCGTTTCTTTATTATTATTATTATTATTATTATTATTCTTCCGCCGTTTTTCGTCCGCTTTCAACTCCTTCCCAGTTTGTGCGATTTCAACCGTTCAAACTTTAAACTATTCCACTCCTTCAGGACACGTTTGCTATTACTTTTCACTTTTCTAACATTTATACTTTTTGTTTTTTTTAACTTTTTGTGCAAAAATTTTAACATTGAAGTCAATGGGGAAATCTTCCAATTCTTCCTTTTATTCTTCCACCTTCTAGACCTTATAACTTCAGCATACTTTCACCTAGAGACCTCATTTTTGCTTTAAAATGTTCATTCACTTGTCGACTATTAAAGTTGTACTCAGTTTTTTTATATCTCTTACAGTTTTTCCACAATTTAGCTTTAAGCAACTTGTGGTTTTCAGCAAATTTCAGGCTTTATAATGGGTGTGTATTGGAGAGTTTAGAGTGATGATGTCATCAGCTAGAGTGCAGACCTCGTCTCTGATCGACAGAACCTCGCTCGAATATATCGCTCCCACGCCCACAAATCTCACTCCACTGACACAAATAATACATCAAAATGGAGGTATATGTGTCCTGCTTCTCACAAAAGAGGTTTCAAATCATTAAATCGTACCCCTTGGCCAGCAGGTGACCAACTGTCCAAAGAAGGCGGAAATCTCTCCCATTGACCGTAATGTTAATTTTCTCCAAGAAAATCCGGATCATCGCTCAGGCTCAGACTTTTTTAACTCGCTGTTGTGGCCACATCTGTCGGAGTACAGACATGAAAAATACTTCATTGTGTTCATGAAGGGCGGAGGATTCGTACGATGTTCTTATTTTCATTCTGTGACTTAAGGAAATCACGCTATGTGAAGAAGTTTAGAGCCTCTAAATCCTCTGCAGTTCAGCTGCTTCTCATTCAAACAGTAGGTCAGTGATTTGCCTTTGATCTCACAGCTGTTTAGGATGCAGTCATTAACGAGACACACACACACACACACACACACACACACATTCTTGTACTTGTTGCTTTATGAGGTCTACCTTGCAGTTCAGCTGCTTGTACACACAGTTAATATGTGTCTGCTTCACCACCTATCTCCACCCACAAACTTTGAGCTACAGAAACCATTCTGGGCTTCTAAAATTCAGCTCATTGAAGATATTATGGGGTGTTTTGAGGATTGTGATAATAAATTGTATTAATGTGTTTAGCAGAGTCTTGTGTTCTCACAAGCTCCTTATCAGGAATAGATACAGAGGATGAGCGTCAGGGCCTACTTGGAGTCCTGTTTCCTTAGCTTCAAGCCTTCTTTCTCCTGCTATAGTTATGCATCCAAGGTCCCCATGGCAACCAATTAGTGCACCTGGAGACACACAGCTGACTGGAAAGCTGCTTCTAATGGCCATATGAGACACATGAAGCCAGGCTCAGTACACATAGCACTGGGGATGACACTTAAAACCCTTTCCTAGAGCGCTTGAAAAAACTTCAGCCCCTATCTCCTCACATGACCTTTGACCTACAGAAACCATTCAGGGCTTTAAAATTTAAGCTCATTGAGGACATTATGGGGTGTATTTAGGATTTATATTCATTTAAATTTTTCACATTTTAAAGTCACTCAGTGATGATTTATCATTTAATTTTTCAAACTAATTTGAACTGATTCAAACTGATTCAAACCTTTCTAATACTTAAAAAATTAAACTTATGCCACTTCCCACCTTCCTGCCTTTTAAGGCAATTTCCTTCTTCATTCAAACTTTGTGCAATTTTAGACATTTTTCTAGCCTCTTTCAGCATGAATAAAATTTCTTTTTATAGAGCATATTCATACTATTTGTCCTTCAACCAATTAATCAATTATCCAACTTACATTTCTTTCACACCCCTTCAACAGCTTTAACATTTATACCTTTCTCCATGTTTTATTAGCAGTTTAGCATTGCTTTTTCAGCTTTCAGCACTCAGCATTTCCACGCATTTTCTGCAAGGAAATGCAATTTTTCTAGTTATTATTATTATTATTATTATTCTTCCGCCGTTTTTCGTCCGCTTTCAACTCCTTCCCAGTTTGTGCGATTTCAACCGTTCAAACTTTAAACTATTCCACTCCTTCAGGACACGTTTGCTATTACTTTTCACTTTTCTAACATTTATACTTTTTGTTTTTTTTAACTTTTTGTGCAAAAATTTTAACATTGAAGTCAATGGGGAAATCTTCCAATTCTTCCTTTTATTCTTCCACCTTCTAGACCTTATAACTTCAGCATACTTTCACCTAGAGACCTCATTTTTGCTTTAAAATGTTCATTCACTTGTCGACTATTAAAGTTGTACTCAGTTTTTTTATATCTCTTACAGTTTTTCCACAATTTAGCTTTAAGCAACTTGTGGTTTTCAGCAAATTTCAAGCTTTATAATGGGTGTGTATTGGAGAGTTTAGAGTGATGATGTCATCAGCTAGAGTGCAGACCTCGTCTCTGATCGACAGAACCTCGCTCGAATATATCGCTCCCACGCCCACAAATCTCACTCCACTGACACAAATAATACATCAAAATGGAGGTATATGTGTCCTGCTTCTCACAAAAGAGGTTTCAAATAATTAAATCGTACCCCTTGGCCAGCAGGTGACCAACTGTCCAAAAAAGGCAGAAATCTCTCCCATTGACCGTAATGTAATTTGTCTCCAAGAAAATCCGGATCATCGCTCAGGCTCAGACTTTTTTAACTCGCTGTTGTGGCCACATTTTTCGGAGTACAGACATGAAAAACACATCATTGTGTTCATGAAGGGCGGAGGATTCGTACGATGTTCTTATTTTCATTCTGGGACTTAAGGAAATCACGCTATGTGAAGAAGTTTAGAGCCTCTAAATCCTCTGCAGTTCAGCTGCTTCTCATTCAAACAGTAGGTCAGTGATTTGCCTTTGATCTCACAGCTGTTTAGGATGCAGTCATTAACGAGACACACACACACACACACACACACACACATTCTTGTACTTGTTGCTTTATGAGGTCTACCTTGCAGTTCAGCTGCTTGTACACACAGTTAATATGTGTCTGCTTCGCCACCTATCTCCACCCACAAACTTTGAGCTACAGAAACCATTCTGGGCTTCTAAAATTCAGCTCATTGAAGATATTATGGGGTGTTTTGAGGATTGTGATAATAAATTGTATTAATGTGTTTAGCAGAGTCTTGTGTTCTCACAAGCTCCTTATCAGGAATAGATACAGAGGATGAGCGTCAGGGCCTACTTGGAGTCCTGTTTCCTTAGCTTCAAGCCTTCTTTCTCCTGCTATAGTTATGCATCCAAGGTCCCCATGGCAACCAATTAGTGCACCTGGAGACACACAGCTGACTGGAAAGCTGCTTCTAATGGCCATATGAGACACATGAAGCCAGGCTCAGCACACATAGCACTGGGGATGACACTTAAAACCCTTTACTAGAGCGCTTGAAAAAACTTCAGCCCCTATCTCCTCACATGACCTTTGACCTACAGAAACCATTCAGGGCTTTAAAATTTGAGCTCATTGAGGACATTATGGTGTGTATTTAGGATTTATATACATTTAGATTTTTCACATTTTAAAGTCACTCAGTGATGATTTATCATTTAATTTTTCAAACTAATTTGAACTGATTCAAACTGATTCAAACCTTTCTAATAGTTAAAAAATTAAACTTATGCCACTTCCCACCTTCCTGCCTTTTAAGGCAATTTCCTTCTTCATTCAAACTTTGTGCAATTTTAGACATTTTTCTAGCCTCTTCCAGCATGAATAAAATTTCTTTTTATAGAGCATATTCATACTATTTGTCCTTCAACCAATTAATCAATTATCCAACTTACATTTCTTTCACACCCCTTCAACAGCTTTAACATTTATACCTTTCTCCATGTTTTATTAGCAGTTTAGCATTGCTTTTTCAGCTTTCAGCACTCAGCATTTCCACGCATTTTCTGCAAGGAAATGCAATTTTTCTAGTTAAGTGGAAATGCTGATAGGCATTTCCACTTATTGTTATTCTCCCGTTTCTTTATTATTATTATTATTATTCTTCCGCCGTTTTTCGTCCGCTTTCAACTCCTTCCCAGTTTGTCCGATTTCAACCGTTCAAACTTTAAACTATTCCACTCCTTCAGGACACGTTTGCTATTACTTTTCACTTTTCTAACATTTATACTTTTTGTTTTTTTTAACTTTTTGTGCAAAAATTTTAACATTGAAGTCAATGGGGAAATCTTCCAATTCTTCCTTTTATTCTTCCACCTTCTAGACCTTATAACTTCAGCATACTTTCACCTAGAGACCTCATTTTTGCTTTAAAATGTTCATTCACTTGTCGACTATTATAGTTGTACTCAGTTTTTTGATATCTCTTACAGTTTTTCCACAATTTAGCTTTAAGCAACTTGTGGTTTTCAGCAAATTTCAAGCTTTATAATGGGTGTGTATTGGAGAGTTTAGAGTGATGATGTCATCAGCTAGAGTGCAGACCTCGTCTCTGATCGACAGAACCTCGCTCGAATATATCGCTCCCACGCCCACAAATCTCACTCCACTGACACAAATAATACATCAAAATGGAGGTATATGTGTCCTGCTTCTCACAAAAGAGGTTTCAAATCATTAAATCGTACCCCTTGGCCAGCAGGTGACCAACTGTCCAAAGAAGGCGGAAATCTCTCCCATTGACCGTAATGTTATTTTTCTCCAAGAAAATCCGGATCATCGCTCAGGCTCAGACTTTTTTAACTCGCTGTTGTGGCCTCATTTTTCGGAGTACAGACATGAAAAACACATCATTGTGTTCATGAAGGGCGGAGGATTCGTACGATGTTCTTATTTTCATTCTGTGACTTAAGGAAAACACGCTATGTGAAGAAGTTTAGAGCCTCTAAATCCTCTGCAGTTCAGCTGCTTCTCATTCAAACAGTAGGTCAGTGATTTGCCTTTGATCTCACAGCTGTTTAGGATGCAGTCATTAACGAGACACACACACACACACACACACACACATTCTTGTACTTGTTGCTTTATGAGGTCTACCTTGCAGTTCAGCTGCTTGTACACACAGTTAATATGTGTCTGCTTCGCCACCTATCTCCACCCACAAACTTTGAGCTACAGAAACCATTCTGGGCTTCTAAAATTCAGCTCATTGAAGATATTATGGGGTGTTTTGAGGATTGTGATAATAAATTGTATTAATGTGTTTAGCAGAGTCTTGTGTTCTCACAAGCTCCTTATCAGGAATAGATACAGAGGATGAGCGTCAGGGCCTACTTGGAGTCCTGTTTCCTTAGCTTCAAGCCTTCTTTCTCCTGCTATAGTTATGCATCCAAGGTCCCCATGGCAACCAATTAGTGCACCTGGAGACACACAGCTGACTGGAAAGCTGCTTCTAATGGCCATATGAGACACATGAAGCCAGGCTCAGCACACATAGCACTGGGGATGACACTTAAAACCCTTTCCTAGAGCGCTTGAAAAAACTTCAGCCCCTATCTCCTCACATGACCTTTGACCTACAGAAACCATTCAGGGCTTTAAAATTTGAGCTCATTGAGGACATTATGGGGTGTATTTAGGATTTATATACATTTAGATTTTTCACATTTTAAAGTCACTCAGTGATGATTTATCATTTAATTTTTCAAACTAATTTGAACTGATTCAAACTGATTCAAACCTTTCTAATACTTAAAAAATTAAACTTATGCCACTTCCCACCTTCCTGCCTTTTAAGGCAATTTCCTTCTTCATTCAAACTTTGTGCAATTTTAGACATTTTTCTAGCCTCTTTCAGTATGAATAAAATTTCTTTTTATAGAGCATATTCATACTATTTGTCCTTCAACCAATTAATCAATTATCCAACTTACATTTCTTTCACACCCCTTCAACAGCTTTAACATTTATACATTTCTCCATGTTTTATTAGCAGTTTAGCATTGCTTTTTCAGCTTTCAGCACTCAGCATTTCCACGCATTTTCTGCAAGGAAATGCAATTTTTCTAGTTAAGTGGAAATGCTGATAGGCATTTCCACTTATTGTTATTCTCCCGTTTCTTTATTATTATTATTATTATTATTATTATTATTCTTCCGCCGTTTTTCGTCCGCTTTCAACTCCTTCCCAGTTTGTGCGATTTCAACCGTTCAAACTTTAAACTATTCCACTCCTTCAGGACACGTTTGCTATTACTTTTCACTTTTCTAACATTTATACTTTTTGTTTTTTTTAACTTTTTGTGCAAAAATTTTAACATTGAAGTCAATGGGGAAATCTTCCAATTCTTCCTTTTATTCTTCCACCTTCTAGACCTTATAACTTCAGCATACTTTCACCTAGAGACCTCATTTTTGCTTTAAAATGTTCATTCACTTGTCGACTATTATAGTTGTACTCAGTTTTTTGATATCTTTTACAGTTTTTCCACAATTTAGCTTTAAGCAACTTGTGGTTTTCAGCAAATTTCAAGCTTTATAATGGGTGTGTATTGGAGAGTTTAGAGTGATGATGTCATCAGCTAGAGTGCAGACCTCGTCTCTGATCGACAGAACCTCGCTCGAATATATCGCTCCCACGCCCACAAATCTCACTCCACTGACACAAATAATACATCAAAATGGAGGTATATGTGTCCTGCTTCTCACAAAAGAGGTTTCAAATCATTAAATCCTACCCCTTGGCCAGCAGGTGACCAACTGTCCAAAAAAGGCGGAAATCTCTCCCATTGACCATAATGTTATTTTTCTCCAAGAAAATCCGGATCATCGCTCAGGCTCAGACTTTTTTAACTCGCTGTTGTGGCCTCATTTTTCGAAGTACAGACATGAAAAAGACATCATTGTGTTCATGAAGGGCGGAGGATTCGTACGATGTTCTTATTTTCATTCTGTGACTTAAGGAAATCACGCTATGTGAAGAAGTTTAGAGCCTCTAAATCCTCTGCAGTTCAGCTGCTTCTCATTCAAACAGTAGGTCAGTGATTTGCCTTTGATCTCACAGCTGTTTAGGATGCAGTCATTAACGAGACACACACACACACACACACACACACATTCTTGTACTTGTTGCTTTATGAGGTCTACCTTGCAGTTCGACTGCTTGTACACACAGTTAATATGTGTCTGCTTCGCCACCTATCTCCACCCACAAACTTTGAGCTACAGAAACCATTCTGGGCTTCTAAAATTCAGCTCATTGAAGATATTATGGGGTGTTTTGAGGATTGTGATAATAAATTGTATTAATGTGTTCAGCAGAGTCTTGTGTTCTCACAAGCTCCTTATCAGGAATAGATACAGAGGATGAGTGTCAGGGCCTACTTGGAGTCCTGTTTCCTTAGCTTCAAGCCTTCTTTCTCCTGCTATAGTTATGCATCCAAGGTCCCCATGGCAACCAATTAGTGCACCTGGAGACACACAGCTGACTGGAAAGCTGCTTCTAATGGCCATATGAGACACATGAAGCCAGGCTCAGTACACATAGCACTGGGGATGACACTTAAAACCCTTTCCTAGAGCGCTTGAAAAAACTTCAGCCCCTATCTCCTCACATGACCTTTGACCTACAGAAACCATTCAGGGCTTTAAAATTTAAGCTCATTGAGGACATTATGGGGTGTATTTAGGATTTATATTCATTTAGATTTTTCACATTTTAAAGTCACTCAGTGATGATTTATCATTTAATTTTTCAAACTAATTTGAACTGATTCAAACTGATTCAAACCTTTCTAATACTTAAAAAATTAAACTTATGCCACTTCTCACCTTCCTGCCTTTTAAGGCAATTTCCTTCTTCATTCAAACTTTGTGCAATTTTAGACATTTTTCTAGCCTCTTTCAGCATGAATAAAATTTCCTTTTATAGAGCATATTCATACTATTTGTCCTTCAACCAATTAATCAATTATCCAACTTATATTTCTGTTCACCCCTTCAACAGCTTTAACATTTATACCTTTCTCCATGTTTTATTAGCAGTTTAGCATTGCTTTTTCAGCTTTCAGCACTCAGCATTTCCACGCATTTTCTGCAAGGAAATGCAATTTTTCTAGTTATTATTATTATTCTTCCGCCGTTTTTCGTCCGCTTTCAACTCCTTCCCAGTTTGTGCGATTTCAACCGTTCAAACTTTAAACTATTCCACTCCTTCAGGACACGTTTGCTATTACTTTTCACTTTTCTAACATTTATACTTTTTGTTTTTTTTTACTTTTTGTGCAAAAAATTTTAACATTGAAGTCAATGGGGAAATCTTCCAATTCTTCCTTTTTTTCTTCCACCTTCTAGACCTTATAACTTCAGCATACTTTCACCTAGAGACCTCATTTTTGCTTTAAAATGTTCATTCACTTGTCGACTATTACAGTTGTACTCAGTTTTTTGACATCTCTTACAGTTTTTCCACAATTTAGCTTTAAGCAACTTGTGGTTTTCAGCAAATTTCAAGCTTTATAATGGGTGTGTATTGGAGAGTTTAGAGTGATGATGTCATCAGCTAGAGTGCAGACCTCGTCTCTGATCGACAGAACCTCGCTCGAATATATCGCTCCCACGCCCACAAATCTCACTCCACTGACACAAATAATACATCAAAATGGAGGTATATGTGTCCTGCTTCTCACAAAAGAGGTTTCAAATCATTAAATCGTACCCCTTGGCCAGCAGGTGACCAACTGTCCAAAGAAGGCGGAAATCTCTCCCATTGACGGTAATGTTATTTTTCTCCAAGAAAATCCGGATCATCGCTCAGGCTCAGACTTTTTTAACTCGCTGTTGTGGCCACATTTTTCGGAGTGCAGACATGAAAAACACATCATTGTGTTCATGAAGGACGGAGGATTCGTACGATGTTCTTATTTTCATTCTGGGACTTAAGGAAATCACGCTATGTGAAGAAGTTCACAGGCTTCAAATCCTCTGCTGTTCAGCTGCTTCTCATTCAAACAGTAGGTCAGTGATTTGCCTTTGATCTCACAGCTGTTAGGGATGCAGTCATTAATGAGAAACACACACACACACGCACACATTCTTGTACTTGTTGCATTGTCAGGTCTACCTTGCAGTTCACCTGCTTGTACACACAGATAATATGTGTCTGCTTCACCACCTATCTCCACCCACAAACTTTGAGCTACAGAAACCATTCTGGGCTTGAAAAATTCAGCTCATTGAAGATATTATGGGGTGTTTTGAGGATTGTGATAATAAATTGTATTAATGTGTTCAGCAGAGTCTTGTGTTCTCACAAGCTCCTTATGAATATATACAGAGGGTGAGCGTCAGGGCCTACTTGGAGTCCTGTTTCCTTAGCTTCAAGCCTTCTTTCTCCTGCTATAGTTATGCATCCAAGGTCCCCATGGCAACCAATTTGTGCACCTGGAGACACACAGCTGACTGGAAAGCTGCTTCTAATGGCCATATGAGACACATGAAGCCAGGCTCAGTACACATAGCACTGGGGATGACACTTAAAACCCTTTCCTAGAGCGCTTGAAAAACCTTCAGCCCCTATCTCCTCACATGACCTTTGACCTACAGAAACCATTCAGGGCTTTAAAATTTAAGCTCATTGAGGACATTATGGGGTGTATTTAGGATTTATATTCATTTAAATTTTTCTCATTTTAAAGTCACTCAGTGATGATTTATCATTTAATTTTTCAAACTAATTTAAACTCATTCAAACTGATTCAAACCTTTCTAATACTTAAAAACTTTCTGATACTTGAGGATTTTTAATTAATAAAATTTTCCCTGTTTTATATTATTTTTAATATTTATGCATTAATCCGTCCTTCAAACAAAATCCTACCTCTAGTACTACAACTACTTATGTCAATTAAACTAGAACTTTCCCCTCTACTTCAACTGCTATTGCTCCTATTTCTACTTTCTCTACTGCTGCTATTGCTACTATTTCTACTTTCTTTACTACTTTGACTTATACTTCTTTTATTCTCAATCTACTTCTACTGCTGACATGACTACTAGTATCACGACTTGACTTCTTATCATACTTCTTCTAGTACTACAACTTAAACTTATGCCACTTCTCACCTTCCTGCCTTTAAAGGCAGTTTCCTTCTTCATTCAAACTTTGTGCAATTTTCGACATTTTTCTAGCCTCTTTCAGCATGAATAAAATTTCCTTTTATAGAGCATATTCATACTATTTGTCCTTCAACCAATTAAACTATTATCCAACTTATATTTCTTTTTCACCCCTTCAACAGCTTTAACATTTATACCTTTCTCCATGTTTTATTAGCAGTTTAGCATTGCTTTTTCAGCTTTCAGCACTCAGCATTTCCACGCATTTTCTGCAAGGAAATGCAATTTTTCTAGTATTATACTTAACACTCTCCCCATACGTTTCTTTGGACCGCTTCTCCTCCTTCAAAATTTGTCCGATTTCAACCGTTCAAACTTTAAACTATTCCACTCCATCAGGACATGTGTGCTTGTATTTTTTTCCTTTCTATCCTTTGTACTTTTTATTATTTTTCACTTTTTGTGCCAAACTTTTTTTCCCATAGAAATGAATGGGGAAATCTTCCACTTCTTCCTGTTATTCGTCCACCTTCTAAGCCTTATAACTTCACCATACTTTCACCTAGAGACCTCATTTTTGCTTTAAAATGTTCATTGTCTTGTCGACTATTGATGTTGTATTAACCTCTTTGTGCTATCTTTTACAGTTTTTCCACAGTTTAGCTTTATGCAACTTGTGGTTTTCAGCAAATTTCAGGCTTTATAATGGGGCAGTATTGGAGAGGCTAGAGTGATGATTTGAAAAGCTAGAGTGCAGACCTCGTCTCTGATCGACAGAACCTCGCTTGAATATATCGCTCCCACGCCCACAAATCTCACTCCACAGCCATAAAAAATACATCAAAATGGAGGTATATGTGTCCTGCTTCTCACAAAAGAGGTTTCAAATCATTAAATCCTACCCCTTGGCCAGCAGGTGACCAACTGTCCAAATAGGCGGAAATCTCTCCCCATTGGCCCTAATGTATTTTTTCTCCAAGAAAATCCTTATCGTCACTCAGGCTCAGACTTTTTTAACTCGCTGTTGTGGCCACATTTTTCGGAGTACAGACATGAAAAACACATCATTGTGTTCATGAAGGGCGGAGGATTCGTACGATGTTCTTATTTTCATTCTGGGATTTAAGGAAATCGTGCTATGTGAAAAAGTTCAGAACCCTAAATTCACTGCAGTTCAGCAGCTTCTCAGTCAAACAGTAGGTCAGTGATTTGCCTTTGATCTTACAGCTGTTTAGGATGCAATCATTAACGAGACACACACACACACACACACACACACACATTCTGCATCCAAGGTCCCCATGGCAACCAATTTGTGCACCTGGAGACACACAGCTGAATGGAAAGCTGCTTCTAATGGCCATATGAGACACATGAAGCCAGACTCAGTACACATAGCACTGGGGATGACACTTAAAACCCTTTCCTAGAGCGCTTGAAAAAACTTCAGCCCCCATCTCCTCACATGACCTTTGACCTACAGAAACCATTCAGGGCTTTAAAATTTAAGCTCATTGAGGACATTATGGGGTGTATTCAGGATTTTTCTTCATATACATTTTTCAAATTTTAAAGTCACTCAGTGTTGATTTATTATTTAATTTGTAAACTAATTTAAACTCATTCAAACTCATTCATACCTTTCTGATACTTAAAATCTTACTGATACTTGAGGATTTTCAATTATTTAAATTTACCCTGATTTAAATTAGTTTTAATATTTATGCATTATTCCATCCTTCAAACAAAATCCCATCTCTAGAGCTACAACTACTGCTAATGTCAATTAAACTAGAACTTTCCCCTCTACTTCAACTGCTATTGCTCCGATTTCTACTTTCTCTACTGCTGCTATTGCTACTATTTCTACTTTTTCTACTACTTTGACTTATACTTTTTTCCCAAACTACTTCTACTGCTGACATGACTACTAATATCACTACTCGACTACTTATCATACTACTTCTAGTACTACAACTTAAACTTATGCCACTTCTCACCTTCCTGCCTTTTAAGGCAATTTCCTTCTTCATTCAAACTTTGTGCAATTTTAGACATTTTTCTAGCCTCTTTCAGCATGAATAAAATTTCCTTTTATAGAGCATATTCATACTATTTGTCCTTCAACCAATTAAACAATTATCCAACTTATATTTCTTTTTCACCCCTTCAACAGCTTTAACATTTATACCTTTCTCCATGTTTTATTAGCAGTTTAGCATTGCTTTTTCAGCTTTCAGCACTCAGCATTTCCACGCATTTTCTGCAAGGAAATGCAATTTTTCTAGTTAAGTGGAAATGCTGATTAAGCATTTCCACTTATTGTTATTCCTGTCGGCCATTTTTCTTTATTATTATTAAGTGGAAATGCTGATTAAGCATTTCCACTTATTGTTATTCCTGTCGGCCATTTTTCTTTATTATTATTATTATTATTATTAAGTGGAAATGCTGATTAAGCATTTCCACTTATTGTTATTCCTGTCGGCCATTTTTCTTTATTAAGTGGAAATGCTGATTAAGCATTTCCACTTATTGTTATTCTGTTCTTTATTATTATTATTATTATTATTATTTTTCTTCCGCCGTTTTTCGTCCGCTTTCAACTCCTTCAAACTTTGTCCGATTTCAACCGTTCAAACTTTAAACTATTCCACTCCTTCAGGACATGTTTGCTTGTACTTTTTACCTTTCTACCTTTTATACTTTTTGTTTTTTTTAACTTTTTGTGCAAAAATTTTAACATTGAAGTCAATGGGGAAATCTTCCACTCCTTCCTTTTATTCTTCCACCTTCTAGACCTTATAACTTCAGCATACTTTCACCTAGAAACCTCATTTTTGCTTTAAAATGTTCATTCACTTGTCGACTATTACAGTTGTACTCAGTTTTTTGATATCTCTTACAGTTTTTCCACAATTTAGCTTTAAGCAACTTGTGGTTTTCAGCAAATTTCAAGCTTTATAATGGGTGTGTATTGGAGAGTTTAGAGTGATGATGTCATCAGCTAGAGTGCAGACCTCGTCTCTGATCGACAGAACCTCGCTCGAATATATCGCTCCCACGCCCACAAATCTCACTCCACTGACACAAATAATACATCAAAATGGAGGTGTATGTGTCCTGCTTCTCACAAAAGAGGTTTCAAATCATTAAATCCTACCCCTTGGCCAGCAGGTGACCAACTGTCCAAAAAAGGCGGAAATCTCTCCCATTGACCGTAATGTTATTTTTTAATGTTAAAATCTGGATCATCGCTCAGGCTCAGACTTTTTTAACTCGCTGTTGTGGCCTCATTTTTCGAAGTACAGACATGAAAAACACATCATTGTGTTCATGAAGGACGGAGGATTCGTACGATGTTCTTATTTTCATTCTGGGACTTAAGGAAATCACGCTATGTGAAGAAGTTCACAGGCTTCAAATCCTCTGCAGTTCAGCTGCTTCTCATTCAAACAGTAGGTCAGTGATTTGCCTTTGATCTCACAGCTGTTTAGGATTAAATCATTAATGACACACACACACCTCTGACAATGTGTGTGCGTCAGTCTCTTTCTCTCTATGAGACCTTCAGGTACACACAGTAAATATGTGCCTGCGTGAGTCTCTCTCTGTCTATGAGACCTGAACACACTTTGACCATGTGTCTGCTTCACTACCTATCTTCTCTCACAAACTTTGAGACACAGACACATTTAGGGCTTCAAAAATTGCAGCTCATTGAGGACATTATGGAGTCTACAGAGGATTCATTTAAATTGTCCTTATTTAAAATCATTCTCATTATTTATGCATTATTCAATTCTTCTAACAAATTTAATCTCATTCTTATTCTAACCTCTCTGATTCTTCAAACCTTTCTAATACTTTAGGATTTTTTATTGGTTATATTTTCCCCACTTTAAATCATTTTTACTATTCATGCATATTTTAATTCTTCAAACAAAATCCCACTTCCACTTCTACAACTACTACTTACATCACTTCTACTTCAACTAGTCTTGCTACTATTAGTACTAGAAAACAATTAAAATGAATTGATTGAACCACTGCCTTTCGGTCGTCTGAAGTATGACATTTCCGAGTGTCCCTGAACGCCTCAAACATTTCTACCGCGACTCACTGGTGGCTCGCGCTCTCCTTCTCCGACCTCGACGAAGGTGAGTCAGAGCAGTCTCTCTAACTTCTGAACACTCCAAACGGCGATGTAACGTTTTAAAAGCCACTGGTTTGTGTTATAATCAACGAAGAGTTTATTCATGATTGAAGTGGTCGAGATAATGAGTTGAAAAAGCATACGCTAACGCTGTTAGCGTCGAGTTAGCGCCGCTAGCGTCGAGCTAGCGCCGAGTTAGCGTCGAGCTAGCGCCGAGTTAGCGCCGCTAGCGCCGCTAGCGTCGAGCTCACGTTAAAGCTAACATACCTTTAGCTGTGAGGCTGAATCATTAGCCAGCTGAGCACAAAATAAAGTGAATATGTAAGCCGCTGCGGTACTATAAAGCATGCCAAATGATGTCCAGGCTGTGGAGTTTACTGACAATGGGACTGACAAGAATACTCATATTGTCAAGTATTAACTGACTAACTAGCTAACTAATGATGCTAGCGCCATTGCTACAGGTTCAGTTCATTACTATGACTGAGTCATTGCTGGGGAACTGGTCTGGAGACGTCAGCTGTTTAGCTCCTGGTCACTTTTTATCAGCCATTGTAGATGTATTAAAATATAGGCTGCATTTAGCAAGCATCCAGGTATACACAATGTGAGTGGTTTTCTTTTTTTATGTGTCAGAATGACACTAGATGGTCCTCTATTATTGAAGGTTTTATTCATGATGGGGATGATAGAGATATTTACATTGCAAAACATAAAATTAATTCAGTATTTAATGTTTAACAATACGAAGTTCCAATTAATAAATATATTCCAGTTGAATTTCCCTTTAGGGATCAATAAAGTTCTTATCTTAATATTGAGTTGATGGATGGAGAGTTAGCTGCCTTGAAGTTGGTGAACCTGCTCCTGGTCTGTCTCTGTCTTGCTGGCTGCTACTGAACTTCACCTTCTGCTGTACCTAATTTACTTTTGATAACAAGCTGTTAATTTGGATATTGGTGATGTGCTAACACCACAGCAAAGATACTTTATCTGAGGTATATATACTTTAATACAGTATGTATTATGTGTGACATTTTCAGCTGCAGCTAACAGCCAGGTGATCTGTTGGAGCTGTTTAGTTTTCAATTAGCCCAACTACTGTAATAATGTTAGTTTTCTTTATAGGCCTATTGTTTTTAATGTACTATCTGTCAGACAACACTAATGTAGTGTTTCTTGTCTCAAACAAACAGAAGATACATCCTTCCCAGTGCATTTGTTGGTAAGTATAAGTGTTTTGACCAAGACTGACAACAAACAAAATAAAAATAACTGGATTAATGATTAGCTTAATCCTGTTAAACAACATGTCATTCAAGATAATGTACAACATATGATGCATTTTTCAAGTACTGAGTTTAAATTGATACGAAATGTTGATTTATCTGTAACACTGTTGTATATCCTATATGAAAATCATAGATGGGATACAGTTTTTTCCTAGAAGACAATAGTGTGCTAACAATATTACTACACTACTGAATTAATTTATTTTAAAAATTGCTGGCGAAAGTCTGAATCTTGATTGTGACAATAATTAAGTGAGAAAATCATTCAGATAAATTTTGAATGAAGTGTTTTTTTAGTGTATTAAAAATCTCTTTCCCTCCCTCTCCCCCCTCCTCCTGCCTCAACTTGTCCTCTGACCTGGGCGAAAATCCCTACCAACTCTGAAGTGTAAGTTCACGCTTACAGTCAGGTCCATAAATATTGGGACATCAGCATAATACTCATCTCTCTGGCTGTAAACACCACCACAGTTGACTTTAAATGAAACAAACAAGATGTGCTTTGACTGCAGACATTCAGCTTTAATATATGGTTATTTACATCCACATTAGGTGAAAGGTGTAGGAATTAAAACAGTTTGTATATGTGCCTCTCACTTTTTAAGGGACCAAAAGTATTGGGACAAACCAAAAATCATACATCAAACTTTCACTTTTCAATATATGGTTGCAAATCCTGTGCTGTCTAGGACAGATAGATACACCAGACGCTCGGTTTCACCCCTAGTGTTGCTCTGCCAGGCCTCGACTGCAACTGTCTTCAGTTCCTGCTTGTTCTTGGTGCATTTACTCTTTAGTTTTATCTTCAGCAAGTGAAATGCACGCTCAAACGGATTCAGGTCAGGTGATTGACTTGGCCATTTCATAACATTCCACTTATTTGCCCTACATCGTGCACCTGATTTGGATGTAAATACCCTTAAATTAAAGCTGAATGTCTGCAGTCAAAGCACACCATGTTTGTTTCAGTTCAAATCCATTGTGGTGGTGTTTACAGCCAGAGAGATGAGAATTGTGTTGACGTCCCAATATTTATGGACCTGATAGTATATATATACTTATTGGGCAATCACTTAAATGTTACATTTTTGCTCTGCAGTTTATAATTATATTTCACTGTTTTGTATTTCACCTCAATAATTTGCATAAGAAAGTAAAAAGTGAAGAGGTCCTTCATTGTGTTTGTGCATTTTCTCTCCATTGTAACAAACATTTTTTACAGGCCAAGGGAGCTGCAGTAACATCCTTTTACTAATCAAGTGCCACAAATGGTAGACTTTGATAAGAAATGAGAAAACTAATGATCCACAGTGAAAAGTTGTGATTGCAGTAAACTATAAGATGCTGATTTTTTTGCAACTAAATTTATTTACTTTTTGTCCCTGTCTTTTCTCTCCTGAACTCGATGCTATCTCTACTGCTGGCCCTATTCACAGTTGGCGACTCAGCTGTAAGTGTACAAATAAAGTAACTTAAAAATGTTTACACTGTTACTTTTTTAAACATATTATGTAAAAACCTGACATTATGTTCTTATTTGACAAACTGCAATACACTTTCATTGTAACACAAACCATTTTAAATACCACTTAATTAATTTTGCCGGCTCATTACAGTTGAAACTGCAATGCAGTGAGATACAATTAAACTAAAAATCTCTTGTCTCTATTTTTCCATTTTCCTTTTTGCCAACTCTGTCCTGTCTCCAAGTGCAGACCGCTTTGTGGCGACTCGACGTAAGTTCACACAGGAATGACACTTTCATGAATAAGACAGTGTACCATTATTCAACACATTATGGACCCCTCATCATGTCCTAACTTCACAATTTGTTTCCTTTGATTATGTAATACTCACAGTTGGAAATGAACAGCTTGAATGTAATATGCAGTACACTTATTTGCATTTCATTTCCAATCCCTGGAAAGCAATTTATTACTATTAAATTGTGGAGTTGGAATTTTTTAACGATGAAAATCCAAATAATTATTAATTGAATGTGATTCCCTCCTTTGTGCATCTCTCATATTAAAAAAACAAGCTAATTTAATGTTCTTTAATATGGAATACACAATCATTATTTATGCAGCCATTGATTTATTTTATTATTCATTTAATCCTATGTTGAGATATGTGTATATCCTTCTAAGGTACCTTGCATGCTTCTGTTTAGAGCTCATGGAGGTGCTTGGTCTCATTACTACTTTTTACATTGTTGGAATACTTAAAACACAGTAAAGGAAATTACTTTCTCCAAAATACATAATATTTTATCAGCAGAGTAATCCATTGTTACTTTTGCTTACCAGGACATGGTTATGAACATTATAAAGGGAACTCAAAGTAAAGAGTCTAAAATACACAGGGATAGTAGAACTTTTTGTAAAATACTTTGAGGTCCTAAATTTAAAAAGGTGGCTCTGTGGTTGGATTCAAGTTGGACTCACTGGAGGATGTGGTGAAGAGATGTACTGTGAGGAAGGTGGAGGCTATTCTAGAGAACATGGATCACCCACTTCACAACACCTTGGTGGACCGAAAGGCCTATGGAGGTGGACGGCTCCTCTCTCTTCGCTGCAGGAAAAAAAGATTCAGAAGATCTTTTGTACCCACAGCCATCAGACTCTACAATTTGAATAGTAGATGACTTTTTGAGACATGACAAATGAGACTATAGACAATTGAATTTCCCTTAGGGGATAAATAAAGTTCTTCGTATCTTAAATTAATTTTTGATTAAATCTTATGAACACTTTGGATTTTTAGTTCTTATTAATTTGATTGATGGGTTATCAAACAGGGCAATGGTCAATTCCAGAATTTGACTCAACTTGGCTTTTGATAGATGTATAGTTAAGGATAGCCATATGGTGGGTTAAGTAAAAGCACATAATAATGACATTAGCTTTGGGTGGATGTTGGTTCATTTTATTTCTTTTATAAAAAATGATTCATGTTTGTTTTCATTGTGTCTTACAGGTATCGTGTCCAGTCTCCCCACTCTCCCCTATCTTTTTGGCCACTCTGACTTTCCTGTCTCCTCTACCGCTCTGTCTGATTAAAAAGCCACTCTATCTTGTGTCCCCCTTTTCTCTATCCCTCTAGCTAAATTTTGGACGCTCTGACTTTCCTGTCTCCTCTACCGCTCTATCTAATTGAAAAGCCACTCTATCTTGTGTCCCCCTTTGCTCTATCCCTCTAGCTAAATTTTGGACGCTCTGACTTTCCTGTCTCCTCTACCGCTCTATCTGATTGACAAGCCTTTCAGAAACCTATGTAACAAGCCTTTCAGAAACCTATGTAACAAGCCTTTCAGAAACCTATGTAACAAGCCTTTCAGAAACCAGTGTAACAAGCCTTTCAGAAACCATTGTAACAAGCCTTTCAGAAACCAGTGTAACAAGCCTTTAAGAAACCTATTGAAATTGCCTCTATTGAGAAACCATCTTATGAAACTGCTTCCATTGAGAAACCTATTGAAACTGCTACCTTTTGAGAAACCTTTTGAAACACCATTTTTTGGAAACATTTGAATAAATCATTTTGAGAAACCTTTTGCTAACCCCTTTTTGAGAAACATTTTGATATACCATTTTTGAGAAACCTTCTGATAAACCTTTTGAAACACAATTTTTGAGAAACCTCTTGATACACCGTTTTTCAGAAGCCTTTTGATAAACTGATTTTTAGAAATCTTTTGATAAACCTTTTGAAACACAATTTTTGAGAAACCTTTTAATAAACCATTTTTGAGAAATCTTTTGATAAACCAATTTTGAGAAATCTTTTGAGAAACCTTTTGAAACACAATTTTTGAGAAACCTTTTGAAACACAATTTTTGATAAACCATTTTTGAGAAATCTTTTGATAAACAGTTTTTTCAGAAACCATTTTTGAGAATCCTTTTGAAACACCATTTTTGAGAAACCTTTTGAAACAGTTTTACTTCTTATACAACCACTACTTTGAAAAATCCCTAATTTTGCACAAGTCTGATTGTTGTTCTAGGTTTTCCTTTCCTGTCTGTGGATCCAGAGTTTCACCAGAAGAAGTGTCATCCGCACCACCACATCTGCGTCCCTGATTTTGAAAGAAAAAATAAACACGTTTCATATAGAATATTTGAGTTACATATTATTTCAAGCACAAAATTCTAAGATTTAAAAATTGTTGCTGATTTGTGTTTTTTTCTGAAAACATTTATATAGTCTTGCCAAGGATTTTCTTTTAAAACATTTGGTAAACTATTGTGGTGTACACACAGTTATATATTAGATATTTTGGAGACTATAAGAGCTGTTAAATAACCTCCTCTCTTTAAGAAATAAAGCGTTTTGTCTATACTGGTGCTTATCATTAACTTTAAATTGTTGAATAAAAACATTGTTGTGAAAGGACAGCTACAATGCCGAGGAAGAGTAAGAAGTCACAGGTTGCAAGCCGGCGCTGGCAGAGGTTTCATGACATTGACCGTGTGAGTACTGGACAAGCAGATGGTATTCCTCAGAGCAGTGGAGAGGTAAAGAGGTCTGACGTATCTGATGCTGTGAAACAGGGAGGTCAAAGTGCATCATGTCAACCACAGGTATCTCATGCAGACATGCTTAAGAGGAGACGTGTAAGTGAGTCACCTGCAGCAGGTCCGTCTAACTCTGAACAGGTAAACCACAGAGGTGAAAGTAATGATCCAGGTTACAACAGGTAACATATGCAGACATGTTGAAGAGAAAACTTCCTCGTGTGTCATGTACTGCCGGTCCGTCCAACTCTGGTCAGATAAACTACATAGCCCAAACTGACAAGCCATTTTCAACCCAGGTATCACATGCAGACACTGTTAACCACCGTAATTATCAGTCTGTATCAACCTCTTCTCAGGCAGGAAATAATGCTGTTAATCAGTCAGGTGAACAAAATGTCTGTGCGTCACGCAGCCAAGCGTCTCTGAAATACGGCCAATCCAGAAACCAGCAGTGCACCTGTAACTCACTGACATTTCTAGCATTCCTGTATGAGAGAGAACACATCACCAGAGCAGACCTGGACCGTGTTTTGGATAAAGGTGATGTGATGTACAGAAAGTCAGAAAAACTGTTGATCACGCCCATCTGACAACCGATGAGCTCCCTGACCAGGTTCCTGCACGCAGACACATGCAGACTGTTGACAAGTTACAGCTGTCTAGATACGGTACGTTTGGAGATCCGGATCCCGGAGCTGTTGATACCTTTCTGGACCTCGAGATGGGACTGAGCTGCTTATTAACAGATGTGCAGTATGCTTTGCTGCTGATGACTTCACTGTGCATTGCAGTTTTCAGAACCAGAGATGGCAGGTATGGTTTCTTTGACCCACATGCTAGGACAGCTAACGGTTTGCCTCTGCTTAAGGCCACACCTACTCCTGGTACCGCTGTCATGGTAACATTCACACGCCTCAGTGACATGATTGCCAGGCTCATCAGGTATCACCACATATTGGGCACAGCAGCGTCCTGTCACTATGAGCTCAAGCCAGTTGTGTTCTGTGATGTGAACCCAAGTGATGCCATCCCAGCCACAGAAAGTCCGTCCACAAGTCCCTCTGTCACAACCACTGTGATAAATGATGACTCAAGTGCCCCACAGATGAACACTGATGTCCATGAAAACACTGAATGACATGGAAACTGAACCAGAACCACTGATCGACTTCAGCCAGTGTTCTGTCACATTAACTGGTCCTGAATCTCTCGCTCCAGAGATTAACACTACTGTAAGTAATGACACATCACAGAATGTCTCAATCTTGAGGAAAATACAAGCTCATCAACCAGGTCAGATCAGCAATGAATTCTGTCACAGAGGAAACTCAAGAGACACAATCAAATTTGAGTCAACCATTTATAACTATCCCTGTTGCCAGTGACAATGTTATCCATGACATCTCCACTAAACTGTCAAAATTAAGCAAACAGCAAAAACTGAAATTTAAGAGGAGACTAATGAGATCTGGAAAGACATCACAAAAGAAAGATAATCAAAAAATAGAAAGAGAGAAAAAAGTATGCTAAGGATGAAACATACAAAGCAAAGAAAAAGTCTTATTCAAGTAAGAAATATTCTGTCAATCCTGAAATACAGACAAAGAAAAGAAAAAAGATCACAACTAAATACAGAGAAAGCACAGACTTCAGACTGAAACAAAAAAAGAATATATCACAAAAAATACAGAGAAAATGTTGAATTTAAAGGCAGACAAAAAGAATATATCAGAAAAAATACAGAGAAAATGTTGAATTTAAAGCCAGACAAAAACAATATATCACCAAAAAATACAGTGAAAATGTTGATTTTAAAGCCAGACAAAAACAATATATCACCAAAAAATACAGTGAAAATGTTGATTTTAAAGCCAGACAAAAACAATATATCACCAAAAAATACAGTGAAAATGTTGATTTTAAAGCCAGACAAAAACAATATATCACCAAAAAATACAAAGAAAATGTTGATTTTAAAGCCAGACAAAAACAATACATTACAAGGAGATACTCAAAGGACGTGAATTTCCAACAAAGACAGCGATCCTACTATCAATCATCGATATGCAAAGATGAAATATTCTGTCACAGACACAGACAGCTGATGAGACAAATGATGCGAGACAGGTATAAGACAAATCTTGCAAACAGGACTATGTATAAAATGAGATGTGCATTGAAAATATTAAAGAAATACAAACAGATAAGTAAACAAACATGTGAGACTGACAGAGAGAGTGAAAACCCTTTGATTGAGAGTGCCATAAATATTTTCCGATCACACATTAAAGCTGGTCCCACCTATGTTTGCACAGTTTGTCACAAAGCCTCATTTCCAAACCAGGTACAAAAGTGCAAGAGGTCCAACTATGTGAAAAATCCAATCATGGTTTCAGCTTGTCTCAAAGGTCAGTACGTCCATGATGTAAAGATGACTGCAGAAATCAGTGCACTGTCCCTGATGAGAGAAAGACTGAGTGGATTTGTCACACCTGCCATGACCATCTGAAAAATGGATCCATGCCCAAACTTGCCATAGCAAACAACTTGGAGCTTGCTGACATACCACCTGAGCTGTGTGACCTCAACATACTGGAGAGACATCTGATAGCAAAGTGCATAACATTTGCCAAAATCATTCCTCTTCCCAAAGGCAGACAGAGAGCTATACATGGTAATGTTGTATGTGTTCCCTCTGAAGTCCAGGAAACAATTCAGGCTCTACCCAGATTGAGAAATGAGTCTCAGGTGATGAGAGTAAAACTGAAGAGACGCTTGAGTTACAGAGGTCACCATCTGTTTCAGACTGTTACCTGGTCCAAGCTAGTGCAGGCTCTGCATAAACTGAAAGAGATACACCCCCAGTATGAAGACATCACTATTAGAGATGAGGAGGAGTTATGTGACCCCACACTTCCTGATGATGGTGATGAGGATGAGGATGAGGATGATGATGATAACACAATGAATGATGATGACTATGATGATGAGGATTTGATGGAGATTGATAGAATTGAGGCTGCTGCCATGTATGAGGCTGAAACTAATGTTGAAAATGAGGATGAAAACACAGAGCTGTGTGATAAAAGTCAGACCCAGGACAATGATGATCAGACACAACAACAGGATGCAGACATATCTAATGGTGGTGTTGTTTTGGAGTCGTGCCTTCAGCCACGTGATGTTTCTGAGGAGATATTGTGTTTCAGTGACTCTACATACTCAGTAGCTCCAGCAGAGAGAAACAATCCAGTCAGTTTTTTCAAAACACCCAAACTAGAGGCCATGGCGTTCCCTGTTCAGTTTCCCACTGGTGAGAATACACTGGATGAAAACAGACCAATGAAACTATCACCCAGTAGTTATTTTAAAGCAAGGCTCTTTGGTGTTGATGATCGCTTTGCCAAAGATACCAACTACCTGTTCTTTGCACAGTTTGTGACTGAAATACACTTGGCTACCTCCAGCATGTCAATACAGTTACGCAAAGGCAAACCTTTGACCAGAGACGGACGTAAAATAACATCCAGAATGTTGAGAGACAAATACGAAGTGGAGAGACTGGTGAGAAACAGAGATGCTATCAGATTTATGCAGCCGCTCAGAGGAACACCAGCCTACTGGGACAAAACTACAAAAGATCTGTTTGCTATGATCAGACAGTTGGGCAGTCCTACTTTCTTTGTCACATTTTCTGCAGCAGAAATGCGTTGGCCTGAGGTGATTATTGCAATAAAATCACAACAAGGTGAGGAGGTGAATTTTGAAGAGCTCGACTGGTCCACAAAGTGTGACATTCTGAGAAGCAATCCTGTGACAACGATGCGCATGTTTGATAAGCGTGTTGAAGCACTGTACAGAGATCTGATCATGTCTCCTGCACAACCCCTGGGCAAAGTTTTTGACTTCTTTTGGCGTCTCGAGTTTCAGCACAGGGGAAGTCCTCATATACATGGTCTTTTGTGGGTAGAAGGTGCACCTGTGTTTGAGAGAGACTCTGACAAAACTGTGTGTGACTTTGTGTCCAAACACATCTCTGCTCAGCTCCCTGACCCAAATAAACAGCCTGAACTGTACAAAAAGGTCAAAGAAGTGCAAATACACAGTAAGAACCACTCAAAGACATGTTTCAAAAGTGCAAGTTCTGGATGCCGATTTGGATTC